GATAATTTACAAGATATTTTACAGGAAATTTATGTTCAGTAGTTGACCATGTAAAATTGAATTATAATATTATTGATGATAGACAAAAGTAGAAGTGTAGAACAGGCATGTATATAAAAGCACCCTTCTTCTTCTTCTTTAAGTTCCAACTTCTATCGAAGGTTGGAAATCATCATGGCTATGCGGACTCTGTTGACTGCCACTCTAAAAAGTTCTGCACTACTGCATTCAAACCATTCCCTCAAGTTCTTAAGCCAGAATATTCTTCGTCTTCCCACATTTCGCTTTCCTCGGATTTTGCCCTGCATAATAAGTTGTAATAATGCGTATTTTTGCCCTCTCATCACATGTCCCAAGTACTCAAGTTTTCGTCTTTTAATGGTTAATATTATTTCCGCCTCATTTCCTATCCTTCTAGTTACTTCCATGTTTGACATTCTTTGAATCCATGATATTCGTAGGATTCTTCTGTAACACCAAAATTCAAAGGCGGTCAACTTATTCAGATGAACTTTTTTTAGTGTCCAAGCTTCCAGACCATAAAGAAGAGTAGAGAACACGTAACATCGAAGCATTCTCAGGCGTAGTTCTAACCTTATATCCCGACAACAAAGAAACTTTTTAAGTTTAATAAATGATGTACGTGCTATTTCAATACGTGTCTTAATTTCTTTGGTTTGGTCTACATCTGATGTTATCCATATTCCTAAGTATTTATAGTTATTAACACTCTCAATTGCAGTATCTTCAATAGTCAATTGGATATTTGCATGTGCAGATTTAGTCATGATCATGCATTTAGTTTTCTTTAAATTTATTTTCAGTCCGTACTCATGACAGCGTTCATTAAGGCGTCGCATTACGTTCTGTAAATCATTGTTATTATCCGTAATTATTACTGTATCCTCTGCAAAACGTAAGTTATTCAAAACTTCTCCATTGATAGATATACCTTCTATTGAGTCTAAGAGCGCTTCTTGAAATACCGCTTCACTGTAGACATTGAAAAGTAGTGGGGACAGCACGCAACCCTGGCGGACTCCTCTCTGTATTTTGATATTTTCGGTGTACTGGCTGTCAACTCTTACCTTGGCAGTTTGATTCCAATATAAATTAGATATAATTTTCAGATCACGACTGTCAATATTTTTGCTTTTTAATATATCTACAAGCTTTTTATGTTGAACTTTATCAAATGCCTTTTCAAAGTCTACAAAACATAAGTACATATCCTGATTCATCTTCATGCATCTCTGAGCCAGTACATTCAAGCCGAACAAAGCATCTCTTGTACTCATACCATTTCTGAAGCCAAATTGTGTGTCACTAATCTCATATTCAAGAGTTTTAACAATTCTGCTGTGAATTATTTTCAAAAATGTTTTAAGTGCGTGACTCATTAAAGCTATTGTTCTGTGGTCTGAGCAAGTTGTTGAACTTGGTTTTTTGGGAATTGCTACAAAGGTTGATTGCAGCCATTGTCTGGGGATTGTGGCAGTCTGATATATTAGATTAAAGAGTTCAACCATTACATTAATAACATCTTCATCGATGAGTTTTAATAATTCGATGGGCACCTCATCTGGTCCACTGGCTTTACCCTCTTTTGTGTTGTTGATGGCATAGATGACTTCTTCTCTTAATATTGGTGGTCCAGTATCCTCGGTGATTTCTAATGACAGTTCTTCTCTTTCATCATTAAATAGTTGTTGAATGTAATTGATCCAGTGACATAATCTCTCCTTCATATCAGTAATAATATCCCCTTTATCATTTGTAAGGATATTAGTTTTTGTACGCTTTCTAGTACCTGTCATTTCTTTGATTTTTTTGTGTAAATTAAAGCTATCGTACTTTTTATCCAGATCTTCTATTTCCTTGCATCTATCGGAGAGCCACCTCTCTTTTGCCTCTCGAATTTTCTTTCTGATGTTTCTCTGAATTTCTTTGTATTTATTCAGGTCTTTTGCTTTATGTTTTCTTCGTTCTTCCATGAGTTCAAGAATTTCTACTGTCATCCAAGGTTTTGTTTTTTCTTTAAGTGGTTTGAGGGTTTCTTTTCCAACTGACACAAGGGCATGTTGAATTTTTCCACATTTTTGGTCAATAGTTAGAGTTTCTGCATTATCTTCTTTGACTTTCCTTAAGCTCTCGTTTATTTTAAATTTGGTTTCCACATATGTGTTGTCTTGTTTGAGACTCTTTAAAAGCACCCTTACTAAAGTAGTATTGGCACACTCCTTCACTCTTTTTTTGTTCGGTAGTTCTTTAGTCAATCAAAACATCCTAGAGAAACTAATAAACAATTAAAAATTGTTCTCAGCAGGTTTCATACAAATTATGAAAGGAATTTAAATGACAAATTCAATACGGACTTAACGAACCAAAAAGTTTAACTCGTAAAGACAAAAATACATAGCGAAAGAGAAAAAAATATGATAAAGGATCAATTAACGTCGTTGAGAAAAAGCCAAGACGTAATTAAACGTTTTCTACTCGGAAAATTACGAAGAGTAGATTTATTCATGCATGAATCACTGTCGTCCGACCAATCCCGAGAGTTTTAAAAACGGCTTAATTAAAACCGGTTAGTTTTACGTTTCTGGTTTTTTTTACTGGTATAAACACCCAACTCTTTGATCTAAAGGGGTGTTTCTTATTCAGAATTATCTCGATACTTTTGTGTCGTATTTATTACAGAAGCAGTATAATATAATTTTTGAGAATTTCTGTTAAGCACAAATTGTTGATTTTTCAGTTTTAATGTATTTTGGAGAAGGCGATATAATTTCGAATTGTACGAGAAGTATAAAAAAAATAGTAAATGGTACAGACGTAATATCCTTCATAAAAATAGGTAGGCTTAGATGGGCTGGACATGTGTCAAGAGCAAATGAAAATTACCCACTCAGACGAACTCTATTATCGGTCCCAGTGGGAAATAGGAGTAGAGGCAGACCACGACTGAGATGGAGGGACGGTGTGGACGAGGACGCAAGGAAAATCGGCGCAGCAAATTGGCAACGGTTGGCGATGAACAGAAACGACTGGCGAAATAGACTGGGGAAGGTCAAGGCTAACTAGAGCTGTAGCACCACTGATGATGATGATGAATGTATTTTAGCTTGTTTAGTGCGATTCTCTTAATTTAAACTACACAATATTATTGTAAACTTTGATGTTCATTCTGTTTACCTCATTGTCTTCTCGTTGTCCTATTATTGATCTGTTAAAACAACGTCCTGTGATTGTGATTAAGAGTAACCGTCACTAAACGTGCAACTTATTTTCTTTGCTGAAATTCGCTATCTGAATTGTGCAGTTCTTCGCGTCTATCTACATTACCGTCCTTCAGCTTTACCTGAGGGAGACACGTGACGATTGTACGAAAACATCCCCTATGATACCTGTGATCAATTCTTTTTATAAGTTAAACATCTACTTCTTCTTCTTCTTCTTCTTTTTCTTCTTCTTCTTCTTCTAATGGCGCTACAACCCTTTGTAAGTCTTGATCTGCTTAACAATGTTCTTTCATTCTTTCATTCAATATTCTTTTATGACGTTTATCGTTTCTTTCAATGTTGGTTGCTCAATTAGTTGTTGTGCTGTGTGGTGAATTATTTCTTCATCTTCGTTTTGTTCTTTTTCTGGGTTAAACAGGTCTTAAAAATGTTCCTTCCACCTTTTTAGTATTTCCTCTTTCTCGCTGAAAATTGCTCTATTTTTGTCCTTGCAAACTGTTGATCTTGTCATGTATCCTTGGGTGTATTGCTTGGTTTCCTTGTAAAATTTTCTAGTTTCTTTTTTGTTATTATGTTATTATTTGTTAATATGTAATTTATTGTATTTTTCTATTCAACATTTCTCTATTATTTCTTCTACATATTTTCTTTGAATTTCGTCTGAGTTCTTCATATACCCTTCCATTCAATCGGGAATCCCTTTTAGACATTTCTGTCTAGCTATATTTTTGCTATTTAGTACTTGTTGGCAATCTTGGTCAAACTATTCCTCGTTTCTTTTACTTGAGGTTTCACCTAATTTTTCCTTTGCCATATTTGTAATTGTCGTTTGGATGACATTTTATTCTTCTTCAATGTTGTTTTGCTCTCCTCTTTTGTTTAATATTACTTTAATTTTCTGCTGGTACTCATTCTTCTTTTTAGGATTTTTAAACATGTGTTCTATTTTCCTTGTTTGGCAACTTTTCTCTTTTCTTAACATTAATAATATTTGTTTTATCTTCGATATAACCAAGAAATGGTCCAAATCGCAATTTGCGCCTTTATAAATTCCAATATCCGTTACGGAGATTGTACGTATTTTTATGAGGGAAACACGTACTAACAACTCTTAGTTTGTTTGCCATTGCCAACTGTGCCACTCTTATACCGTTGATGCTGATAATATCACGTAAACTATGCTTACCAAAGGATTCTGCATATATTGGCTCTTTTCCCAGCTTCGCGTTTATATCACTCAGGACCATCGAGCAAAAAGACAAAAGAGGGAATCTAATCGTTATGAAAAGGAGTCCAAAAAAGTGGCCTCTGATGGCGGACATGTCCGGAAATGCAAAGGCGCTAAATTTAAATTTTCCGACACTTATTAAGAATAGTTATAAAGTATTTTTCAGACGAGAAAGTTTTAATTAAATATTAACGATAATAGTCTAAAATGTGACACAATTAAACGTTAAACATTTACATTTAGTAACAATTAACCACACTTTTGTAATAACCTTGGTCAAAATTATAACTTTTACGTTTACTTTAATTAAACTGGTTATACTTATTTTAGTTTAGCACTGATGATGGGATAGTTATTTCGAAAACCATAATATTTTATTGTTTTATTGCTGTTTCTATTCCAAAATAAGACAAAGATCGCCAATTAGTTAAACCTTACCTACCTATTATTATTATCGTGTCTAATACAAAATTCAATTAAAAAAACCGCGTTCAAAAAGTCTTGTTTAGGGGTGGCGTTTAGTAACTTACCATATATGTTTAAACGCGCTGAATGCGAACTTTTTCCTGCTCGATTTTCGGCTGTACACATGTACTCTCCTCCATCTTCTACCATAACATGGCTGATATTAACGTGGCTAATTACATCTCCGTGAACCGTAACGTACTGTCCGATTACAAATCTAAAAAAAAAGCACAATTAGAAATTAATATAGAGCCATCGGGAAAAATATTATTAGGGGTAGTATTTGCAATAGAATTCTTGTGGTTAACTTGTTGGTCGGTTCTTCTTAGTAGAGATGGTTTGTTATAATGTTTTTATGTTTCCATATTTTTACTTTTATGCCTCGCTTACATATAAAATATTGAACAATGCATAGTAGCTCAACATACGGATCCGCAGAGCAAGATGTAAGTAGGTACCAGTACCAGCAAAAAAAACTTGTCCATTACGTGCTATTTTATTTTACTGTTTACTTTCTTATTCTGAATACAGTTTTTTTATATTTGAATGTTATGTTTGAAGTATTGGCGATTACAACGTTGTTCCAGCATAGCATTCCTTTTAGTTTATAAATCTTTGTAGTATGTATTTTGTTAATTACTATTTGACCAACAATCAGATCTTCTTCCGAATTTTATTCCTAGCAAACAACTTTCAGACCTGCTGCTTGATCTGCCGCTATTCAGGATTAGCAACATGGAGCACTTTTTTCGGACACCGGGGTACATCCATTGTTGATCATATCCTCTGAACTGACACAGTGCTAGGTAACTTTGATGATGAATGTTACATTGGCGATTCTATAACCTTGGACCATCTACCTCCATTAGTCAAAACCAATTTCAACTCATCCCTTCCTCCAATAACTTATATATACAGACGAGATTATCGCAAAGCTAATTGGAAACCAACAACATTCCAGAGTTGGGTCATTTGTCAACAACTAACCTGGTTGACATAGGGATCTCAAAAATTGATAGCCTCCTCTATGAGGCCTCATCCCTAGCAATACCACTTGCAAAAATAAATCCATATACTCCAACTCTTCCATAGAATATCCTGGCTAAAATCCGTTTAAAGCGCAGACTACTTAGAGAGTATAAAAGATTCCGAGACCCACTTATCAAAACAGAATCCAACCACATTTCTGCTTCCGTAAGATTGGAGGTTAACAAGTTGAGAAAAAATCGGTGGAGACAAGTTACCTCTAATTTGTAACCAAACAAATGTCAAATCTAGTTATCAATAATGTCATCATTTCAAACCCTCCGAACAAAGCTGAAGCCTTCAAAAAACTCTCCAGGCAACATTTATCTCTCTATAAAACAAACTTCAAAAAATAGTTCAAACTCGACAGCAAAAGGAGAGTGGAGGACATACTCTACTATCTTCCTCAGCATTTCGGTGACTATAATATACAACATCCAATTATGGCTCCAGTAAAAGATGACACCATCAGGCAGATGTGTAACATTGGTAAAGACACATCCTGGCCCAAATGACATGCACAGAAGATGTCTCACAAAACTCCCAGAAAGTATAATCCCGCTACACCCAAATATAGTAAAAGCATGTCTTTAGCTGTGCTCCTTTCCTACTCCCTGGAAAGTGGGCAGCACAATTATGATCCCTAAACCAGGGAAACCCCTAACCAGCACTGAATCCTACATACCTATATCACTCCTAAACAATCTAGGTAAAATCTACGAGAGGATCCTAACGGAGAAATTCGTAGAATTCCTAGATACCAACAACATCATCCCAAAATTCCAATTTGGATTCAGAGCTGAACACTCCGCATAAAAGGCATTGACTAAAGCAGCAACCTTCATCTCTAAACTATCATTGAAAAAGGTAAAATTGCAATCGGCATATTCCTTGACGTCCAGAAGGCCTTTCATCAGGTCTGGCATGCAGGACTGATTAAAAAACTCCGCCTTGCTGGACTGCGAACTACATTTCTAAGAACATTCCACTCATATCTCTACAATCGGACCATAAGAGTAAAAATAAAGAACCAACATTCTAGCCCCTTCACTCCACTGGCTGGAGTACCACAAGGCTCAATTTTAGCTCCTATCCTTTACACAGTATATAACAGCGACCTCCCCACGCCCTTATGGTTAAAAAGAAATTGCTCACCTAATGCACGGTAGAGGAAACCATAAGGATCCGCTCTGCGCTCAGTAGGTCTTAAGCCCAACTTGACAAAATTGTCAAGTGGTGCAATAAATGGAGAGTCAAGCTCTCAACTCAATTAAGAGACTGAGCTTAACCTCACCCTTAACAGGGTAAGGAAAAAGGCAAGACTCCTGGGAGCTATAGCTGGAAAATCTTGGGAAAGACACAGCAGAACTCTCCTCCACACATACAGAACCTACATTAGACCAATTATTAAGTAAAGGGTGGTTCTTTACCCTCTACTGAACAACCGCCAATGCAACGCCATGATGGCCACCGAAGTAAAGATCTTGAGAAAGATCATGAGAAGGCGAGCTGACTTTCCATCAGCAATCATACACCAATTGGCCAACATACCAACAATCGAGAGTATAATCCGCACTCTCGGCAAAAGATACACTATGAGAACCATAACCAGCTCCAACATCAGAGCCAAAGAGGTTCTAAAGATTTTATGCCACCGCCTAGGAGACATACTCACCAGGCATCCTGGTAGAAAAGTTCGCTTCCTTCCAGCCAAACTTCTAAACTTGGCTGGGAACGAACTTCCTGATGAGTATTTCAACATCCTAGAAGCGACGATATCGTAGATAATCATCTACAAGTCAAAAATTTTCTACCAAAAAGAGCCGTTCCCAAGTGTATAGCTGGTAACATGCTACGCTACCTCCCCCTAATTCCATGACACTCCATACAACACCTACTCCATCAACACCTACACACCAACACCAACATCACCAAAATACCCATAAATGACTGACTACTGCTTCTGAGCACCACTTCCACTCAACAGCAAATTTACACACACTCCTCTCTTGCCTTCGATCTTTCCCTGGATAATTAATTGAGGGATTGGGTATTTTTCCCTCTTAGAATATGGCCGAGGTATCCAATTGTTCGTACCTTGATCAAATTGAGTAGTTCTCTCTCAGTATTTGCCTTTCTTAAGACTTCCTTTTTTCTCACCCTATCTGTCCATGGTATGTGGAACATTCTTCGCAACGTCCACATTTCGAAGGCCTCCAACCTATTAATGGAAGATACTCTTAACGTCCATGTTTCCATGCCGTATAAAAATATGGACCATACATAGCATTCAACCATTCTGTAGCGGAGAATGAAGGAAAGATGGTTTTATTCGCGTTTATTTAATACCGTGATTATTAAAATTATAATTCAATAGTTTAACTTGTTGTTGCAGCTTCTCCAAGTTTATCGTCAGTGTTACTATGTCACTAATTGAGCCTCGACCTTCCTTAGTCTATTTTGCTTGTTCTGTTTATCGTATTTCGTCTGGGTGGTTAGTGGGTGGCTCTTATCACGTTGAGGCCATGTAAACCTAACCTATTTTTTTGAAATATATTATATCCTTACCATTTAATACTTCTTTATGCAAATCATGAATGTGTTGCTTGTGTGAGTCCATTTCAAATAGGTAAAGAAATAATAAATAAGACTTACTCACAATCAATTTAATTTAACTATCAGACGACCGGTTTCGCTTTCTACAATATGCAAAGCATCCTCAGGTCTCGATACAAAGTTAAACAAATGCTGAAATAATAAAAACCCATATTAGGGTGTTGTCTAATAACGATAAACAAAGTAGGTGTTGTAAATTACAATAATTATGCCAATATTACATGTCTGTGGTTTTATTTAAATGAGTAAGTTGAGTAAAAGGTATAACATTTTTTTTAAAGGTTAAACAGACAAGGTAAGGCCCACATATTGTTATAAAATAGTCTCTTCGATTGTAATAAATTAATAAATGAGCAAATAAATAAATAAAATAAACATTACTTACATGCCGGTTACATCTATTAATAGATGGATGGTAGAACATGGTTGAAACTACTTTATATTGTTGAATGGAGAACTCAATTCTATCACTGCAGTTGTTTGACAGTAAACGGGAAGTTCTTGAGGAAGCATCCTCAAGAACTTCCCGTTTACTGCCTCCTTATTATTTCAGCATTTGTTTAACTTTGTATCGAGACCTGAGGATGCTTTGCATATTGTAGAAAGCGAAACCGGTCGTCTGATAGTTAAATTAAATTGATTGTGAGTAAGTCTTATTTATTATTTCTTTACCTACTTCTTTATGCCTTTCATACAGCTTGAAATTAACACAATAAATATGTTTTTTTTTAAGTTTTGCAGATTTTTCTTCTTTTACTATAAATGTTTAACAATTTTTTTCATCATTAGCACAGCATTTCATAATCAGGCACCACATTTTAAGTACCTTTGTATTAATTGAATATATGATCTAAAGGCGATTTTAGTTTAATTCTAATTTCTGTTCTAGTTATTAAATTTTCCTTAAAACGATTACAATCTTGCCTACAGCAACCACAATTTCCAAATTCTGTAATTTTTGCTTCGTGTACCGAAAAGCTTACTACATTTATTCAAACACAAAAACGCTACAGTTTGGTTGTTGTTTGACCTAGTCTTGAGTTTTGCCACATGTTGCCTACGCTTACTGTTTTGTTATGGAAATCTGTGTGCGATGTCCGGCCGATATTCGAGACAGAAACAATAAAATGTTTAGATGGTAAAAGCAAGAAATAAAATACCGCTGTTGGGAATGCAGTAAAGTTGGGAGTTTTAAATTAATTCGTTTTAACAAAGATCAAAGGCAGCGTATGTTACAGCAGAGTAAATAATTTTTTACTAATATTAATTATAAGATATTCACATATAAAAACCAAATGAATAAATCTGTACTCCGGAGGTAAAGGACACTATGTCCATTTTTATCAAAATTGGAATTATTGCACTTTTGAATATATCTTTTCTGGCTCTACACACAGGTAAACCATACTATGTCCAGAGACAATTCTACGGCAAGTTACCGACTTTTAAACACCAAGTCCACTTCCAGTTAGAGGTAAACAACACCATGTGGACTTGGTGTTGTTTACCTCTACCAAATGTGTACACTGTTATTTACGATCCAGACATATTGTTATGTGCCCTAGTACTTGGTGA